CCCCCCTCCTTAGAGCTACGTGTAAGGGAGCGCTCTCCAGGGATTTCCAAGGGGTAGTGTGCGGGCAACTGGCATGCGACGTGTCTGGCAGACACCGGCGCAACGAGATAACAAAGCCCTGAACATGCATCGACCAGATGGCAAGCCTCTCGTGTGCTTATAGTATGACTGTCGGATACTCCGGCGCCCAGTTGCCAGGGGCTCGTTTCCGGATTGTCCAGCGCGCCCCCTTGGCCTGGTTCTCGCAATGGCCTCAACCGCCGCGAGCGCTCTTGTCCAGGAGGATACCACCGGTTTGGTGGAACCGCCGGCGCCTATTAGCCTGGAGACCCTGCCCGACTTCCTGGCAACTTTATACAACCTGCCGCCTACTGATGGCATCCGAGAGAGAGCGTACCTCCGCGCTGTCATAGACTTCGCTCGACTCCACAAAGATCTCGTCCTCGCGCGCATCGCAGAGGTATCTCGGCCGTCGCGCCGGGCCCTCCGCGTCCTGCACACTTTATTGACCGAAGTTCCTGGTCCATGGCCAACACTGGCTCTTCTTCGTTGCCATGCCCGACTGTCCAAGTCGGTCCTCGAGACGACGGAGGTAGGGCATCACAACCAATCTGAAGTATCGGCCAGCGCGACGGCCTCCCTGGTGAAGAGCTTGTGCGGTCCCTTGACCGACCTCATACGCCGCACTGCTTCCCCTGCTCTGCGGACACCAAGCAGCGACAGCTCCATCTCACACACGGAGCTGCGCGAATTTGCAACCAACTTCCGCTTACCAGTTTTGCCGACCGCTCGCAAGCCAGTCGTGGCCGTTGCCCTCCCGAACGGACCCTTGTTGGCCGCAACGTGCATTGCGGTGGCGACTTGGTACACGGCGGCACCGGTCAATCCCGCAGCTGGCCCGGTTCAGTTCCAGAGGGACATTGTGCAAATCGGCGCCAAGTTCATACTGACCACGGCGAGCCTCTACGAAAGTCTTGAACTGGATAGCCTGCAGGTCGAACCTTTGGAAGTGCAGATCCTTTGTATGCAATGGGATGGCGGCGGCAGAATCAAGCTTGTTACTCCATCTGGAGATGCGGTTCCCCCGGGGAATAGCAAGCCGCGTCCGAACCAGGCAGACGATGTATCCCTAGTGCTGTTCACGAGTGGTACAACTGGCACCAGGAAGGTCGTCCCGGTGACCTTTCATTCACTCATAGCCGGCGTGGTCCTTGTTGTGGATTCATGGGGCCTGAGCTCCGAGGACATCTGCGTCAACATGATGCCGCTCTACCACGTGTAAGTGCAGGACGACGAAGGCAATGCCCTGCTGAGGGCGCGTCCCAGAAAAGAGCTGACAAAGTCTCTCAGTGGCGGCTTGACAAGGAACGTTCTTGCTCCGGTACTGGCCGGGGGGTCAACGGTCTGCTGTCCAGCGTTCGAACCGACCCTCTTCTGGGATGTGGTCGAGCACGTCCGGCCCACATGGTACTATGCTTCACCATCGATGCATGCAATCGTCCTTTCTTACGCCAAAGAGCGCTCGATGTCGTTGAAGAAGAGTCGGGTAAGGCTTGTTTGCAATGCGGCAGGCAACCTCTCGCCATCTCTGGCGCGCCGGCTACGTGATACGTTCGACTGCGCCGTGCTCCCGAGCTACGGGATGACCGAGTATGGAATGAAACATCGCTTGCTCTAGAGATTTGCTAACCGAGGTGCTTCAAGGTGCATGCCCATATCGACGCCGCCGTTGGACTACCGTCTAGACCGTGACGGGACGTCTGGCGTCAGCATCGGTCCGGAGCTCAAGATTCTGGATCCGTTGGATGCTCCCGTCCCTGCAGGGACAGTCGGCCGAATATGCGTGCGAGGTACACCCGTGTTCCCTGGCTATCTTCTTCCGGACGGTTCGCTCGACAAAACCTCATTCACTGCAGAGGGGTGGTTCGACACTGGCGATAGGGGCCATGTGGACGGCGGAGGCTACCTCTTTATCACTGGCAGAAGCAAAGAGGTCATCAACCGCGGTGGCGAGCTGATATCCCCGTTCGAAGTCGAGGACGCCATCATGGCGGCTGCCGCATCGACTGGCTCTGCCATCAGTGGGCGTATAACCCAGGCCCTCGCGTTCCCTGCCGCTCATGACGTTTTGCAGGAGGTGGTCGCCGTGGTGTTGGTCACACCTACTGGCACTCCTCGAGTCGACCTCAGGGGTCTGCAACTGGCATTGCGATCGTCGCTTCAGCAAGCCAAGTGGCCGACGCTAATTGTCTATATGGACGATGTGCCGAGGATAAACAACAAACCGTTGCGAATCCAGATGTGGGAGCGTCTGGGGCTGCCCACCGTCAGAGAGGACATGGACTATTTGCGGCGGCATTGGCAGGCTTCATGCCCATCCGCCGACACCCCGACATGCGTATCCATCGGTGCGTCCCCGGTTTCGCTTGATGCCAGCTTGGTATCAGCGGCTCTCGACGCTCTGGTCCCCGCCGGCTTCAGCCATCACTGCAGGGAGCATGAGATGGGCAACGGCCTCGACATCTTTGTGGCGCCAGCACTTGATGGAGCCGGTGATGCGCCTGATACGGCCACGATCAAGTTGCGACAGCAATTAAGTGATTGCCTTCACAACTACATGCTTCCCGAGCGGATCCACGTGATTCCGCAGCCACTGCCCAGGAACGCTCAGGGACAGGTCGACGAGGTCAAGCTGCGACGGATTCTGAGCGATGTGCTTGGCCAGTCCCTGGGGACGCTGGACGTGTCAACCGAGGGTAAGGTCGCCAAGATATTTGCTGACCTCCTGACTCTAGCCCCGCGCAGCATCCCGCCGGATGTCGACTTCTTCGTGCTCGGTGGCGACTCCCTGCGGGCGGGCCGCCTCATCTCGGCACTGCGATCCTCGTTCAAGGTGCAAGTGCCCGTCACTCTCGTCTTCAACCACGGAACAGTGCGGGACATCTCCGCGTACCTCGACAAGGAGGCACATAGGTCATCGATGGATGCCGATCCGAAGGAGGCGGTCAACCGTTGCGCCACCGTGCATAGTTCCACGAGCCCGTGGCTCATGGCACTTCAACTCACGCCCCTGGGCGTCGTGTACCCGATGCGACGCGCCTTCCAGTGGACAGTGTTCATCACGGCCCTCAGCCTCACGCAGAAGTGGTCGCTCAACGACTCGGTCGTCGGCCGGCTGGTGGCCTTGACCATGTGCATATTGTGTTCGCGCATCATCACGCGAATTCTGGCGCCATTGGTAGGCATTGCGACCAAGTGGCTGATCATCGGCCGCTACCGCGAGGGCCTGTATCCCATGTGGGGGGGGTATCACACTCGATGGTGGATGGTGGACAAGATCGTGGCCGTCTGCGGCGAGGGCTTCTTCGGGACCAATGACGTGACCAGGCGGATCTACTGTCGTCTCATGGGCGCAAGGATCGGGGCCAATGTCAAGCTGGCGAGCGCAGCCCTCGGCGAATGGGACCTGCTGGACATCCGCGACGGTGCAGAGCTATCCCAGTGCCTGTGCCGGCCCTTCGCAGTCGAGGCCAACACGTCCATGTACCTGGGCGCCATTGTCCTCGGCGAGAACAGCACCGTCGGGGTCTCGTCCATCGTGGCGCCCGGGACCGCAATCCCGCCCAACACGTGCATCGGGCCAAACTCGTCGAGCTGGGAGTTGGCCGATGCCGACGAGGCGAACCGAGACCTGACCCCAGACCGTGCCCCCCGGCCGCACTGGGTGCTGGTGGCCTTGTTGACGACGCCTCTGCGCTTGCTGGCATGGTTGCTGTCCCTTCTGCCTTGGGCCGCCGGCCTCGTAGGCATGGTGCTCGAGGAGCCCCGAGACAACGACACACCCTTGCGGAACATCCTGGACTGGTTCACGGCTGCCGAGAGGGTCGGCTACCATTTCCTGGCCCTGCTTCTCAGGACGTTCCTCAGCCCCTTCCTCGTCTTTGGCTTCGTTGTCCTCATCAGGGTCGCCCTCGACGCGTGCTTGGGCAAGCTTGGCCCTGGCCCAGCCGGCGGCCGCGGGGCCGTCGCGACGTGGCGCGCCGCGGCCATGAAAACGCTCATGCCCGTCTCGCGGCTCCGCGGTATGACGACGCTATTCGGGCAGCACTACGAAGCAACGTCCGTCGCGCTGCGCTTGCTGGGGAGCAGGGTCGGCGAGCGCGTGTACTGGCCCGGCACAGGCCCGGAGATTGGCGACTATCATCTGCTCAATGTAGGCAGCGATGTTGTCTTTGGTTCCCGAACCCGCATCATAACATCGGACGGTTTGGGGTCTGAGCCCGTCACAATCGCCGACGGCGCAATGGTGGCAGATCGCGTCTGTCTGCTGCCAGGCGTCCATGTTGGGGAGCAGACGACCATGGGCTCCGGGTCTCTTACCAGGAGGGGGCGGAGGTACGAGGCTGGCGGCACATTCGTCGGCTCCAAGGGTGGCGATGCCGTCTGCCTCTCGAGCTCACCAAGACACAGGCTCCGGAGGCGCGTCCGTCGCAGGAGCAGCGAGGACACGCTCGCCGAGCCGCCCGCGCGAACTCGCAGGGTACACGACAGGAGCAGCGACGAAACGCTGACCGGGTCATGCGAGCCGTCGTCGATCTCACCCCAGCAGACCGAAGCGGACGGCCGAGTGCCGTCCGCGGCTGGCGCGTACGCGTCTCCATTCGGCCGCGCCTTTTATCTCGGGCTGGCTCCTTACCGCGTCCTTGGGCCCTTGCTCATCTTTTGCTACTCGGCTGTCATCGCCGGCTTCACCGTCTCGTACTGGAACGCCCCCAGCATCGCCTCCATCCAAGCCGTGGATCGCATCATGAATCGGCTCGTATCGCGCGACAAAAACCTCCTCGCCGAGCTGGTCGTCATGTACAGCATCATGGTGGCAGCCATGGCCGTCTTCACAATGCTGCAAGCCTTGTTGGCGCTGGCCGTCGTCGTTGCCGCCAAGTGGTTGCTGGTCGGCCAGCGCCTTCCAGGCAATTATGACTGGGACAAGTCCTCCTATTGCCAGAGATGGCAACTATTCCTTGCCATTGAGGGCCTTCGCCGCGCGTGCTGCCGGGGACACGGCGTCCTTGGTCTTCTCACTGGGACTCACTGGATCGTTCTCTATTTCCGGGCCATGGGCGCTAAGATTGGCAAGGATTGTGCTCTGTTTGCCAACGGTCGGCCAAGTCTCATGTTCACCGAGCCGGACTTGGTCACTTTGGGAGATCGTGTGGCCGTGGATGATGCTAGCATCGTTGCTCATATTAACACTCGCGGCACCTTTGACCTGAACAGGCTCGACGTCGGCAGCCGCTGCGTTCTGCGGTCGGGTAGCAGGCTGTTAAGTGGTGCCATAATGAGGCCGGATAGTTGCTTGTTAGAGCACACCTTAGTTATGGGAGGAGATATCGTTGAGGAGGGATCCGTAATGCAAGGTTGGCCTGCGGGAAAGCTGACAATAGATAGATAGGAGTATTCTTATTTCTATACAAACCGGAGCTCCATACAGATAATCACACGGCTTACATCCGCGGTCGCAGCAGCGGGCGGCAACCCAGCGGGCGGCAACCCAGCGGGCCAGCAACCCAGCGGGCCTGCAGCAATTAAAGCCATCGCGGGCTGCCGGGCTATATGGGTTGTAACGTGTGGCCCCACAACTTCGTGCCCCCCCTAACATCGCGTCGCAATCTCCCGACGCGTTAATACTAACCGTCTCTCGTCACTCGGCTATAATTCCTTTATTTTTATATCAATCGAACCTAAATTTTTAATATAACGCGTTCTAAGGCTACCTAAGAGGCCTATATTGAAAACGCGCTTTAAGAGCTCGAAATAGGTGTAAAAATCGGTAAGGTTAGTTAAGATTAATATATACTTAAGTCGACCCTTTACGATAGAGTTAACGGTAAGTAAGAAATTTATAAAGCGAAGGAAAAGATATAGTGCCTATCGCTAATTTAAGAAGAAGAGCTCGTTAATTAGATATTAACTAAAGAGACCGCTAGCTAGGCTTTAACGTAAGTAAATATATAGTCTTTTATATAGCTTATAATAGCTTAAAGAGGCTAATTTAAGTAGATTAGAAATAATTAGGTTAATTGCTTCCTTAAGCTTAATTTAAAGGTTAAATTAAAACTTATTTAAGGCATTAAAGTATCTTAGACCCTCTCTTTAATTAAGGATATATTCTATAACTTTTAGAGCTATCTTAATAAGTAAATAAAGACCCTTTTTATTATAGTAATTAAATATATAATATAGATAAGATTAATATAATTAAAGGTAAAATTAAGGCTAGTAAAGTTATTAATAGTAATTTAATAAAATTAATAATAAAGACTAAGAGTAATTTAAATACTTAAGTTACGATAGTTAAGGCTATTATTACTTTAAGTCGCTATATAAAGCTATTTATAATCTTTATAGGTAGTAAGCTTTAAGAATAGTAATTTCTAGCTTATTTTCTAGATTAAATATATAATTATAGCTTATTAAGCTAGTTAAATAATTAAATCTTATTTCGTTAGCTTAAAGAAGTCTTCTTACCTTAAATAAAGCTATAAATTATATTACTTTAGTGTCTTTTAGTCCTTAATAGCGCTATAATATATATTAATAAGGAATTTATATATTTAACTTAGATTAATAAGGTTTACTTTTTTTACTTATTTATATATACTTTATATATTATATAGCCTCTTAATATAAATGTTTTTAGCTTATTTAAGATATTATATCGTTAATAATATATTAAACTAGCTAACTTTAAAGTTATAGCGCTATAATAAAAATAGCGCTTTTTAAGGGTATATAAAATAGCCTTTAAGAATGCCTTTATATAAATAAATATCTAAGCTAGTTTTTAAGTAATTAAGATCTATTTAATAGTCCTTTAAAGACTTCTTAATACCTTTATTAATATAAAGGCCTTATTAAAGGTTTTAGCTAAGCTTAAGACCTTAAAGAAATAATTAATTTTAAAAAATAAAGAATAATAAACCCCTTAAAGTAATAAGGAAATAAAGGTAAAAGTTAGTCTCTTAAAAAGGGACTTTAATAGTATTAATTATAGCTTTTAAATTATAGCTAAGAAAGTAGCTAAGTCCCTTAATTATAAAAATAGCTTATTTATAGCTAAGTAAGGCTAAGTTTAATATTTAAAGGTAAGGGTCGAAGCCTATAAGCTATTAAGCTATTAAGTAATTAAGAGAGGTTTAAATAATATATTTACTACGATATTATAGATTAAAAAGGCTAGAGAGGCTATAAAGTAAGTAAGTAAGGCAAAACGCAAGCGTTAAGCTATAAAATAAGTTAAGGAGTTAAATAAAGTAGCTTATTAAGTTTATTATAGTTATATATATATAATATAGGTATTAGAATTTAAATTGCTCTATTTTTAGTTAATTAGCGCGGCTTTAAAGTTTATAATAGTTTTCTCATAAGGCTACGATATTAAGGGTAGCATAATATTATAGGGCTATATATTAATAAGTAATTAAAGGTATTATAGGCTATAAGCTATAGGCGGCTATAGTAATAGACTATAAGAGTGGGCTATATATATATTATATATAGTATAAGTAAATAAAGATATATATATATATAAATAGTAGTTTTTAATAAGTAATATTATTTATAGAGCTTATTTTTATTAGTTATAGAGCTATCTTTATAGTCGATTTATTCTAGCTAATTAAAAGCCGCTTAAATTATCTTATAGCTTATTTTCTAGCTAATTTTAAGCCGCCTAGACTTATATATATATAAATAAGGTATATAATCTTAATAAAGTATAATAGCTAATATAAATATATTAAGTAATATAAATAGCTTACTTATAGCGTTATAATATTATTATTAACCTTAGTTAAATAATATTATTAAATACTTATATTATAGCTTTATAGTTAAAGATATAAATCTTTATTTTTTTTCTTAACTTAATTAAGCTTCTTATAGCTTTTAGCGATATTTAATTATTTATATAGCTTATTAATACTATTAATATTAATACTAATAATATAATTATTAATAATCTTAATAATAATAAAGTAATTATTAATTTAATATTAATTTTATTTTTATTATTATAATTTAATACTTTTAATAATTTCTATAATTTCTTAATTAATTTTTACTTTAATAATAATACTTTTTTTATTAAATAAAATACCTTAAAGAAATATAAAATTAATAATATCTTTTAATTTATATATATTACTTTTCTTTATAATTATAACTTATAAAAATAGTATAAAATATAAAACTTTATAAAATAGCTTTATAAAAAATTAATTATTTTATAAAGGTTATTATTTTAGCTATTAAGTTTATTAATTAAAAATAAATATATAAAATAATTTAAGGTTAATATAATTATAATTAATCTTTTAATTTATTTATTTATAATTTTTTTATTAATATATAATAATTTAATAAAATAAAGTAAAAGAGCTTATAAATAGATATAATATATAAACTTAAAAAATAATAAATATTATTTATAATATAAATCTTAAATAATACTTTTTTTTAAAAAAAAAGATATTTATATAATAAATAAATAATACTTTAATAGCTTAATATTAATTTAAGTATTTATTAAAAGGCTTAAAGAAAATAAGATTAAAGTTAATAAGTTATTTAATAATAAAAGTTACTTTAATGTTTTTTTTAGATTTATTTTTAATATTATAAAATATAAAAAAATTCTTAAAAGTCTTTAACTTTAAGTATTACTATTTACAGTCATGCGTTTCTCTATTTTCATACATGTCATACCGCTAAGACCTAGCTATAGTGCCACACTGTCAGGTCTATAGCCCGGCCGCCCGCGATGCCTTCAATTGCCTGCTACGGCCCGGCAGCCCGGCCGCCCGCGATGCCTTCAATTGCTTGCTGCAGCCCGCGCAGCCCGGTAACCTGCGATGGCCTCAATTGCGCTATAGCCCGTGCAGCCCGCGATGGCCTCAATTGCCTGCTGCAGCCCGGCAGCCCGCGATAGCCTCAATTGCCTGCTACAGCCCGGCAGCCCGGCAGCCCGCGATGCCTTCAATTGCTGTACGCGCCGCGCTACGTGCGCAGGCCGCTGGAAACGCACTGTAGCACCCCGGCAGGCCTATTTTTAGCGCTCGTAGTAGGGGCTCTTAGTGGTTAGAGGGGTCTTGGCGGTACGATATGTGTGAAAATAGAGAAACGCATAACTGTAAATAGTAATACTCTTAACTTTTATAATATTTATTAAATAAATTACTTTAAAATATTATTCTTTTAGTCTATAAATATTATTAATTAAAAGAATATTATAAATTTTACTTTTAGCTTTATTAATAATAAAAAAGAATATTATTTTAATAACTCTAAAAAAAACTTAATAAGCTTTATAAAAGCTTTATTATTTTTACTTTAAAAGTTATAATAATTAATAAAAAATAAGCTCTTTAAATAATATTTATAAAAGTCTTATTTAATATATAATAATAATTATATATTTATTACTTTATAATTAATATTTAAATTAAAATTTACTTTTATTAAAAAGAGAAAGAAAATAATATTAATAATATTAATAATAATAATAATAAAATAATATTATTTATATAAATAAAAAGTACTATTTATATAAATAGACTTATAATTTACTTTTTATTAGTTAATTATACCTTTAAAGCTATTATATATAATTAAGACTTAATAATAAGATTAATATTATAATAAGTACTTATATAGCCTTTATAATATATTATAGTTAATACTTCTTAATATTATATTATACTTATAGCTACGTTATTACTTAAGGCTAGTCTATAATATTATAAATTACTTTAATAATATTATAGGCTATATCTACTTTAGCCTTATAAGATAAAGTTATCCTAGCTATATAATTATAATTATAATTATACTTAAAGCTTAATATAGTTAAGGGACTTAACTTATAGACCTTAAAGTTAAATACTATACCTTTAATATTATAATATTATAAAGAAACTATAGAAATAGGTTTTTTAAGTATTTTAAGCCTTATTAACGCTATAATAAAGGTAGATAAGATTAAGGGCAGTAAATATAGTTAATAATTATAAGATTTACTATTTATAAGGCATTATATTTCTATTTATAAAGTAACCTTACTATCTACCCTATAAGGCTAGATTTTTGCCTAATCCTATACTGCCTAGCCTATTATACCTATTTTTAGTATATAAGCCTAGCGCTATAAGGAAGGCTATTAAATATAGCCTTAGCGCTATAACTATAGATTAAGACCTTTTAATACTATAATAAAGATTATTAGTTTAATACTTATTATATTATTATAGCGCTAAAGATAGATCTTAGCCTCTTACTTAATAATAAAGAGCCTCTTAATAAAGGGATCTCTCCTTCTTTAATTATTACTATAGCTACCGCTATAAATAACGATAACTTTAGCGATTTAATTCCTTTATTGCTATTATTTATTAATTTCGATACCTTTAATAAGCTCTTTAACTTCTTTCGAGATTAATACCTTAATAATAATACCTCTATTATTAAGTCTTTTTTTAGTATTAAGTATAAAGTTAATAGAGTTATATAACTAACCTAGATTTATTTTACTTATAATTAAGGCCTTAAGTATATCTTTAAGAATATTAAGCTATAAAAGGCATTAATATAAAAATTTAATTACCTTATCGTTATTATAGTCTTAACGATTAAGTCTTTTAGCTAGAAGTAAAAATATAAGATCGTTTAAGGCTAATATAATTATAGTAAGTCTCTCGATTTATTAGCTTATAGCCTTTATTATTATTATATATCTCTTTAATAATAAAAGGAATAAAATCTTGCCTTTAAGTATATTATATAAATATAAAAGATAGTAAACCTTATCTATAATATTAACTTAAATTACTCTTTCTTTTAGAAAAGAGATATCTATAACGATAAGTAAGCGATTAAATAAAAGCGCCTTAATAGTTTAATATTTATTTAAGCCTTTATTAAAGAGCTTAAGGCTAGCGAGATTCTTATTAATAAGCTCTTTAATAATAAAGACTACCTTAAAGGTATCTTTTAGACCTATCTTTAATATTATAAGATATAGAAGAAGTTCTTAGAAATCTTTAACTTAAATAATATATATAAAATTAATTACTTTAAAATACTATTCTTTTAGGCTATAAATATTATAGATTAAAAAAGCTTAATAAACTTTACTTTTAGCTTTATTAAAGGTAAAAAAAAATATTATTTTTAATAGCTTATAGATTAATTAAATAACCTATAAAAGAGCTTTAAGATTAAAGTACTTAAAGTTATTATTATAAATAAAGAGTAAGCTTTTTATATAGCTATTATAAAGACTTTCTTTAATATATAATTATAGCTTTATATTTACTACCTTTTAGTTAATATTTATATAAAGATTAATTTACGCTAAAAGGACTTAAAAAGTTATAATAATAACCTTATAGCTTTAAGAGATAATAATAATTATAATAATAATAATATTAACTTATTTAATAATATACTTAAAGAGCCTTTAGAGCTTAAGCTCGACTTTAATATCGCTAGCTATAAATAAATATAATAAGAAATAAAAAAAGGTATTATAAACTTAAATATTAAAGACTATAATTATAAAGGTATATTTAAGGTATTTTAAGCTATTATTTATACCTTTAATTACGATACTTTTAAAGATATATAAAAGTCTTTTATTAAGACTTTTAGCTATAAATAAAGGTATATCCTATAATATATATAAAAGGAATATATACTTTAATAAAAATAATAAATAAAGTATTATATTAATTATTATTATAACTTTAATTAAAGAATTAATAATTTAATTAAGATTATTTATATAAAGGTTAAGTTATATCTTATAATAAATATAAATAACTTTCTTTACTTCTATAAAGCCCTCTTAATAATACTTAAGAATAAAGTTAAGTCCTATAAGTAAATAGCTATTAAGTAACTATATCGCTAATAGTATTACCTATAATAAGTATAATTAAGTAAGTTAAATTAATAAGTTATATATTAAGTAATTAATCTCTTTATTAAATAATATTACTTTACCTTTATTATAATATTTAATTAAATAAAGCCTTAATTATTAAAGCTTTATATAAGTAACTTTAAGTATTAATATAGCTTACCTTATAGTTATATAATCTTTAAATACCTTATAGAAAGTTAATTATTATATTATAATTAAATTATTACTTATTAATAACTTAAAAAGCTATTAATTCGTCTCTTTATTATATTATTACTTTCTTTACTTTTTACCTTACTTTTAGGCCTATTTATTAATTATTATTAAAACCTTTAAGATAGCTACCTCGATATCTATAACTTAATTATCGTTATTAATACTTATAGCTAGCTACGCTTTAATACCGTTAATAAGAAGCTTAAGGTCCTTTAATATCTTAAAGTTATTAAAGACGATATTATTAATAATATCGATAACGATAATATTAAAGCTAATTTTATATAATAAAGCTAAGGTTCGAAATAGATATAAAGCTTATAAGAGACTTAAAGTAGAAGTAGAGGTAGAGATAAGGCTTAAGGCTATTAACCTAGCTAAACTATAAGCTAAAGGACCTAACCCTTAAACTTAAGTATCTATTATAACCGCTTATAATTCGAGCTTAAAGATAAGCTCTTATAGCTATTATAGGCATTATAGGCATTATAGCTAGCTTTAAGGAGCTTATAGGCATTATAGTTAGCCTTAGATAAGTTATAGACTATAAAGGGATTATAAGGTAGCTATAGCTATATTTATAGTAATATTATTACTCTAGATTAATCTATAATATTATAAACTACCTTAATAATAATATTAGCTACTTTAATAATATTATAAGCTATATCTACTTTAGCTTTATAAGATAAGGTTATCTTAGCTATATAGCTATAATTATAGTTATGCCTAAAGCTTAATATAGTTAAGGGACTTAATATATAGTCCTTAAAGTAAAAGAATATACCTTTAATATTATAATATTATAAAGAAACTATAGAAATATATTTTTTAGGCGAATTAAGCCTTATTAATGCTATAGCTAAGGTAGATAAGGTTAGGGGCGTAGGTATAGTTAATAATAGTAAAGGTATAGCTAGCTAGCCTAGCGGAAGGATCTAAAATAGAATAATATATATCTAAATATAATAATATTATAAGAAACTATAGAAATATATTTTTAAGCGATTTAAGCCTTACTAGCGCTATAGCGCGGCTATTATATTATAATTACTTAATGTAATTAAGATATTACGATATTTCTTATATTACCTATATATATATATTAAAATTAAGTAGCGCGAGCTAGCGGTAGGGAGAGTAAGGTAGATAGTAGGGTTACCTTATAAATAGAAGTATAATACCTTATAAATAGTAAAACTTATAATTATAAAGGTATAATTAAAAGTATTACTTATAATAAGGCTAGCTTTAATAAGTAAGAGCTAGTTAGCTTATTAATATTAAATATATTATAAAGAGGTAAAATAGGGTTATATAAGCTAGTTACTTTTATACTTATAATACTCCTTTTCCTTATATAGCACTCCTTTTCCTTATATAGCGCCCCTTTCTACCTTATAGCGCTATATAATTTAATAAGTAGCTTAAGCTAGGCTTAAGCTTAGACCTTAAGGACTAACCCTTAATATTACTAGCTTAATAAATAAAATAATATATATTTAAATATAATAATATTATAGGGAAACTATAAAAGAATATTTTTTTAAGCGAATTAAGCTTTATTAATACCTTATTAGCCTTATAGTATAATAACTATATTATAAAAATATAATTCGTTTAAGATTTTAAGATATATTTTAGCGCGCTATTACTATCCTATACTTATATATTAAAAATAGCTATAGCGATATAAGAGTGAAGTATAAACCTAGAATTTTATAGAATATTTATATAATTAGTACTTTTTATCTATATAAATAATATTACTTTAATAAGAATACTTTATTTATAAAGTTATTAAAGCTTAATTTTAACCTTAAAGCTTATAAATATATATAATAAAAAGTAAAAGAAATTATTTTAAGTTTAAATAATAAAAAAATATAGCTATAAAGGTATATTTAAAGACCTTTAAGTTATTATTTATATTAATTATATAACTTTTAAATACTTATAGAAATACTTTATTAAAACCTTTAATTATTATTAAAATATATCTTTTAATATTTATAAAAGTAATATATATTATAATATAAATAATAAATAAAGTATTATATTAATTATTATTATAACTTTAATTAAATAATTAATAATTTAATTAAGACTATTTATATAAATATTAAATCTTAATTTATAATTAATATATAAGGCTTAAATAAGGGAACCCTACTAAACGTTATATATATATAATAGGCCCGATCTATAGGGTAAAAGGAGCTACCCCGCTAATATCTCTTAAAGCTTAGAAGCTAAGCTTTAATCTTAAATAAAAGACTAAAATAAGAGACTTAATTTATATATAAACTAATTAACTATTATACTCTTACTTAACTACCTTAAATAGCTTATATAGTTATTATAATTCTTAAAGCTTCCTTTTAGTTACCTAAGAAATAGTAATAGTCTCTATAAAGAGATACTAAACCGCTAGCGCTACGCTAAGTATAATATACTAAGGGGATTACTTTACTATAAGTACTATAAAAGGATTTAATATTATATTAACTATAGTCGGTTTTTCGGTAAAAGAATAAGCCTAAGCGACTAAAGTATAGATTAAATAACTTAAAGAACTATAAGTATTATAAGAAAAAGAGAGGGAACTATAAGAGTCTTTAAAGAGAGTAAGGAAGCTTAACGTAATATTATTATAATATAAGTAAGGTATTCTTATAAGAAGGAGGGATAAAGGTAGTAAAAGATAGAGAGAAGAGGGAAATAAGGATATAAGAGATAAGAAGGGTAATAGTAAAATAAGATAGAAGAGATAATAGAGGTATTAAATTACTTAATCTTCTATCTTCTCTAGACTAGGAGGGAAAGGTCCTATATATAATTAAAAAGACCCGGCCTTCGGTTTAATAGTCTCTCCGTCGGTTTAATACTAGCCTCTATAGCTAAAAAGAGCTGAATTTAGCTCTATTTAGCGTAGCTAGAGCTAAATTTGGCTATATTTAGCGTAGCTATAGCTAAATTCAGCTCTATTTAGCTTAATTTAGTGTAGTTATAGCTGAATATAGCTAAATATAGCTTTATATAGCGTAGTTAACCTTATACTAGGAGTATCCTTATTTTCACACACGCATTTCTCTATTTTCACACAAGTCGCACCGCTAAGACCGGGCTACAGTGCCACACTGTCTGGCCGAGCCCGTAGCCCCTAGCCTAGCAGGCCGTGATGCCCTCAATTGCTGCTACAGCCGCGCAGGCCGCGATGCCTTCAGTTGCCTGCTGCAGCCCGCGGGCCGCGATGCCTTCAATTGCCTGCTATAGCCCGCGCAGCCTAGCAGCCCGCGATGGCTTCAATTGCGCTACAGCCCGTGCAGCCCGCGATGGCCTCAATTGCGCTGCAGCCCGTACAGCCCGTGATGGCCTCAATTGCGCTACAGCCCGCGCAGCCCGGCAGCCCGCGATGGCTTCAATTGCCTGCTGCAGCCCGGCAGCCCGCGATGCCTTCAGTTGCTGCAGCGGGCTACGTGCGCAGGCCGCTGGAATGGCACTGTAGCACCCCGGCAGGCCTATTTTTAGCGCTCGTGACAGGGGCTCTTAGTGGCTGTACGGGCCTTGGCAGCGGAGTTGTGTGAAAATAGAGAAATGCGTATGTGAAAATAAGACTACTCTATTATAAAGAAACTATAGAAATACGTTTTTTAGGCGATTTAAGGCTTACTAGCGCTATAGCTAAGGTAGATAAGGTTAGGGGCAGTAGATATAGTTAGTAGTAATAAGGGCATAATTATAGGCGCTATTAGCTTAGCGGAAGGATCTAAAACGGAATAATATATATTTAAATATAATAATATTATAGGGAAACTATAGAAATACGTTTTTTAAGCGAATTAAGCCCTACTAGCGCCTTACTAACCTTATAGCGCGGTAGCTATATTATAAAAATATAATTCGATTAAGATTTCGGGATATATTCTAGCGCGTTATTACTATCTTATACCTATATACTAAAAATAGCTATAGCGGTATAGGGGTAAGGTATAGACCTAGAATTTTATAGAATACTTATATAATGAGGGTTTTTATCCTTTACGAATAGCATTACTTATAATATATTATATATTATATTTATATATACTATATAAGAATATATTTTTTATATTCTTCTATATAGTCTATATAGCTATATATTAACTATTTTATATAAACTAAGATGCCCCCTTAAGCTTATTATAGTTATATAAGGAGCTTAGATATAATAAGTATAGTTATTTAAGCCCTAGTTTATATATAAAGGCCTTATACTTAGTAATATTAAGACCCTTAGTAAAGCTATTAACTAATTAGTCTTTAGTGTTTATATAAGCTAATTAGAGCTTATAATTAGCTATTTCCTCTTATATATAGTAATATTTAGTATCTATATATTTAGTTCTTTTATAAAATTCGGGGTTTTTAACTAGTTTTTTAGCTCCTTAGCTATCTATAAGTAAGGGAGGTATATTTATAGCTAAATTTAGCTATATAGCGTTATTTATATAGTTATATACGTTATTTAAATATATAAGTTCCTTAATTACCTCGCTTATAGCTATATATTTAGATTCGTAATTAGATAGAGAAACTAACTTTTATTATATATTATTCTAGCTAATTATATTATTTCTTAATATAGTTATATAGCTCGATATTAATTTTCTATTATTTATATCGCCGCCCTAATTAGTATTTAAATAGCTAATAAGGCTATAACTATTATAGTTATATATAAGGCTATTTAAATTAGTATATATATTAATATAGTATATACTTAATATAGTATAGTAATTTAGATATTTCTAGATATAGTCTAGGGCCCTATAATAAGTTATATTAGGGTTATTAATATATCGAGAGTAATAAGATATAATATAGTCTATATCGGGCCTAGTTTTTAAAGCTAAATATAATAGGCTATTAATATATTATTAATATAGGGTTATTTCGTTAATTATAGCCTAAGTTTAATAGGGTTTTAATTTAACCCCTAGTTCTATAAGGCTAGAAATAGGATTTAGTTTATTTTTATTATAGCGGTTTTTTATAGTTTCTAAGTATTTATTTTAGTTTATAGCTATATAGCCTTTTTTAAGTAGTGCTATTCGTATAGATAGAAAAGTCTAGCTATATAGACGTTCTATAAGAAGGAGGGATAAAGGCAGTAGAAGAGAGAGATAATAGGGAAATAGGGATATAAGAGACAAGAAGGGTAAAGTAAGATAGAAGAGATAATAGAGGTATTGAATTCCTTAATCTTCTATCCTCTCTAGACTAGGAGGGAAAGGTCCTATATATAATTGAAAAGACCCGGCCTTCGGTCTGATAGTCTCTCCGTCGGTCTAATACTAGCCTATATAGCTGAAAAGAGCTGAATTCAGCTCTATTCAGCGTGGCTATAGCTAAATTCAGCTATATTCAGCGTGGCTATAGCTGAATTCAGCTATATTCAGCGTGGCTATAGCTGAATTCAGCTGTATTCAGCGTGGCTATAGCTGAATACAGCTCTATGCAGCGTGGCTAACCTTATACTAGACTAAAGACCCTAAGTCTAGCCGAAAACAGCAAAAATCGGTCTAATAGACTATCCGGCGGTATAATAGACTGCCCGCCGGTCTAATAGACTATCCGCTATAATAAAGTTTCCGGATAAATATTTACCCGGTATATATAAAAATCGGTACGTACCGGATAAATATTTATCCATATAGACTTTATAATAATATATTTTTTATCTATTTCTATATAGCCTATATAGCTATATATTCGCTATATATTATATTTTAGTAGTATAAGAGGCTCTTATAGACCTTCTTATTATACCTAAAAGTAATATTTTCTAAATAAATAGCTATATAATATATATATATATTTATAAAATATATTATATAGTATATTTATATATATTATATAGGAATATATTTTTTATATCCTTCTATATAGTCTATATAGCTATATATTAATTATTTTATATAAACTAAGAAAAAGAGGTAATAGCGTTAATAAAAATACGATTATCCTTATAATATAGTCTAAATCGATTATAATAGCTAATACTTTACCGTTAGTAATATTATCTATAAGAGGGTTATTATTAATAATAAAGTTATTAATAAAAAGATCCTTATTAATAATATTATTAATAATAAATTCGTTAATAATAGGTTCGTTAGTAATAAGTTCGTTAATAATAAGTTTATTAATAATAAGTTTATTAATAATAGGTTTATTAATAATAAGTTCGTTAGTAATAAGTTTATCGATAATAAGTTTATCGGTAATAAGTTTATCGGCAATAAGTTCGTTAAAGAGAGGGTTATTAATAAAAAGATCTTTATTATTAATAGTATCTATAATAAGCTTTTCGTTAATAGGCTCTATATTAATTACCTTATCGTTAGCTTTATATATAATATATATAATATCGTATCTATTAATAGCGTAATATTTAAGGATAGACTTAATAGCGGCATTAAATTTAAGGATTAAGTCGTTATTAATATTAATTTTAAGGATAACTCTAGACTTATTAATAATAATAGATTTAAGAATAATAATTTAATAAATAAGTAGATTATATAAGTTAGGTAAAGAAAAAGATAAAATATTAAATATAGTATTAAGGATATTAATTAAATTAATCTATAGAGGTAAGTTAAAAGGTATCTTAAAAGAGTTAGCTATTAAATCGATTATCTTAATATTAAACTAATTAATATTATTAATTACCTAAAAAAGCCTAATTATAATAATATTACCTCTACTTTATAGAAGGCTAATATTATCTATATTACTTATTATAGTTATTACTTAATATATTTAATATAGTTAATATATTAATTACTTACCTTTTTTAATACTTTATACTTAATTTACTTATCTATAATTCTAGTCTTATTTTATATAACTACTATAATACTTATAGTCTAAATTACTTAAAGAAAAGTTTAATTAATAATTATATAATAAATCTAATAATATAAAGTTTAACTTACGTTCCTATAGACCCTTAGCGTTATACCTACCTATACTTTATACTTAGCTATTATCTAAAGATCCTTTATTAATCTAAATAACCTTAAATCCGTTTATATCCTTATTATAGCTATTTTAATAGTAATAGAGGCATTAATAGCGGCAATAGGGGCCTTATCGATAGCGGTCTTAGCGATAGCGATAAGGGCTTAATGCTATAATAACGGAAATCTATATCGATATCTTAATATAGTAATAACTTATAATAGAAATATAAAGATAGGTATAGCTATATAAAGAATAGAGGTAGCTCGTCTTAACTCTATAGGATTAAATTCTTACGCTAAGCTTAAGGCTAGACTTATAACGGGATCTCTTTAAGCCCTTAGCGTAATAATAATAGGAGATAGAAATACGGTATAGTTAATATATATAATCGGGGTAATAAGAGCTATAGTAAGGGTTATAAGAAAAGATAAAGTTATAGTAATAGCGGCTATTATAGTTACGGTTATAGTTATAGTTACGATTATATATATTATTATCGTTACTTAACGTTATAGTAAGAGCGTAATAATAGGCGATATAGTAATAATAATAGCGGTAGAGGAAGTAAACTACTTACCTCGATAAAGAACGAAAGTATCTCTAACGCTACTATATTAATATGCGATTTTAGAGATATTAAGAAGCTTAAGTTATAAGGCATTAAAGATAGTATAAAAGCTAGGCTTTAAACTCTATATCGTATAATCGTATAGGCTATATAATAGTCTTAATATATAATACCTTAGGCTATAGCTATCTTATATAAGCTTGCCTCCTTAAATATATAACCTTCCTATATATTAATATTAATACTAATTAATAACTAATAGTCTCTTTATCCCTATACTTATTTACGTTATACTATATTATATAGAGATTAGTTATTAACGATAGCTTTATCGAGATATTGATACGCTATAAGGCCGACCGTATTATCCTTACGTAAATATAGGGTAGATATCGTTATAGCGGTATATTAAGGGGCGTATATCTACTCTTATTAGCGGCCCGATCTAGCCGATAGGGAGGTAAGAGTTATTATTAGTCTTACCGTTAATTACTTATAGCATCGAGAGTAGCCTTATATTATATAATAGGTAGAAAATAAAGCTACGATAGACTATATAGCGAGGTAGACTATATACTATTATTTCTAGGCATGCTAGGGGTCTATAGCTAGTTTATATAATAGACCCTAGTCTACCGCGCGGTTAGGTAGCTTAGCGGGCCCTTAGCATAAAGGAGCTAATATCTAAATAGTAAAGGGGTGATATCTAAATAGTATATCTTAAAGAGTAAAGGTTATTACTTACGTAGCGCTATACTACTTCCCGCGCGGTCGGTAGGGTCTTATATAGCTCTTACTTATAGTAACGCCCTTATAGAGAGCGAGCCGCTATCTATCCGTGCCGTATAAAGTATATAATACCGTTAATAAAGCTCTCGTTAGGTAAGTATTATTATATCTCTTTAAAATAAATTAACTTATTAAGGCTA